ATATTAAATTAGGGTTTCAAAAAGAATCTCACTAAACTTCTATAAGTTTGGTGGAAGAATTATTAAACAATGATTTATAACAAATTCACTATAAAAATGTTTATAAGAGGTAAGTGATTTATAATAATTGTTAAATATTGATTTAATATTCTGAATTTTATCATGTGGTATCAAAATAAATTATACTAGATCTAGAACTCTAATTTTTTTATTTATCAAATTTTTAATTTAAAATTTAGAGCATTGGAATTTTGATTACAATGAATAGTGTTTTTTTTAATCTTTTGAGAATGCAATAATTATCAAATGGTTTTGTTTGTTTTTCAATTCAAATGAAGAAATTTTGTTTGTGTGTAAATCCCAAAATAAATAGTTATGTATATTTTATTTATTCACGTGTTTTGAAAAGTCTAAGTGAAAATATTTTTCATGAATAATTATACATCTTGTTAGAGCTTTATAGATTCAGTAAGTGTATTTCATCACAGTGAGTCATTCGCAAAAATTGATAGAGTTATCTATTAATTTTATCTATTAATTTTAAGATGAACATGATAGTAAATCCTTTTATCTACATTAATTTTTTGTAACCATTGTTATAATGTAATATATTCTTTACCCACAGTGGAGTTTATATTATGTGTTTAATTCTTTTTTTGTTGTTGTAATTATGTTACCTGTTATTGTCCATATTAAAATCAACTCTTCTTACATTTTTCATGAATAACACAATGAATCACATTAAGCATGTGATAAAAAATAATTAAAAGAGATGATGATAAATCTACTTCTAGATATGTTTACATGTTGGCTAGAGAAGTTGTATTTTGAATGTGTTAAACAAGCTTTAACATCTTTTTCTGCTAGGAAAATTGAATTTGTTGTCTTTTATGGGACTATGTCACATGCTTTAAAGCAAAGAAATTTTGTCTTTACTCTTAAAATTGCATAATCCATTTTGAATTTATTGAAAATTTATTGAAAATCTATTAACTAAAAGACTTATACCCATTGTATTTATGAAATATGTTGAGAATGTAGGTATTGTAAGGTCCTTTATTGTATTTAGTCAGTGAGAGTTGTAATAATTATTAAATATTTTATCTCGAAATGATTTAGTTCCTTTTGAAAATGTTGTTTCATGGAAAAACATGATGTATATATAGTCTTTTCGAGGAGATTGGTTGAGTTTTCTTGAAAAAATACAATATCACATTTGTACATAATAGCGTGAAAAAGTCACATAAATTATGCTATGATATGTACCTAAATTTCACACTTATTTTATGATCATGATGGTGAGATTGTTAGTTATGTGATTATTGGTAAATCAAACTTTGAATAGTTAGTCTTTATCATTATTCTTGACTTATTATTTTATTGGAGATATTGATCATTTTTTTATGACGATTATATTCAAGTTGTTTTGTAGTCACAATAGTTCAACCCAAGAGTTGTTTTCAAAATAAATAAAATCTAATTAATATTGTCTAAGTAGGAGAATGTTAGATTTTTTTTTTATTTTAGCTATTATTAATTGTTGTAATTTTATTTTATGAAAAAGGGATTATGTTACCTGACATATATATTTTCCTATAAGTTTATTTTATTATGTGATTTTTTTTATTTGAGAATTATTATGTAAGTATATTTAATTGTTGAGTCAAGCCTAATAGACAAGTGTGTTGAGTTTTTTTAATGCGTAGTTGATCAAATATTTATGATGGATAAATATTAAGTTGGAGTTTTAGAAACTGAACAAATAGAATCCCACTAAACTCTCACAAATTTTATGAATGTCTTTTTTGCTCTATCTAAGAGACAATGGTGATGGAGAGGAATCCTAGTAAAATACTTTTTGTTATTAACGTACACACCTGAGTACATGACCAACATTGTGATAATAAATTTATTAAAAAAAATATTATAAGAGGTAAATGATTTATAGTAATTGATAAACATTAATTTGATGTTCTAAATTTTAGTATTGATTTGATATATAATTCTACCAAATATAATTAGTAAATAACCTTATTTTTTAAATATGTAAATATAAATTTGATCACTGATTTGTGTATATAAAAAATCAATTATTGAAAATGTAATTTTTTTTATATAAATTTCAATACTTCAAGTTTTTTTTTTTAAAGTTCGGCCAAGGGATACTCCAGTTAACAATAAATTGATTATACATAAAACATAAACTCAAACTTAACTTTATAGCGACGGAAAAAAGTATTGTTGTTGAGAAACTCGTTTGGGCTCTTGTATAATTAGGTACAATTAAAAGTAAAACTATAGTATGTTGCACACTTGACCGCTAGGACGTAAAATAAGATGAAATAAGTAAATATTGTGGTTTATTTAATTTGGCTGAAAATGATATATCTGCATTTTGCAAGGCGCACTTATATCTTTGAGATGTATATATATATATATATATATATATATATAGTGTAACAATTAATTACTATCGTATCACAGTCACATTCTTGTATTTTAAAATTACAACATTTTCAATGGGTCACATGGGAAGCAATTAAGGCTCACAGCTCACTTTTTAGGTATATGTTTTTCGATGGCATAATTAACCAATAGGGATTTCCCATGCCTAACATAGTCAAAATGGCAGTTGGGGCTCATCAATTCAATCCTCACCTAATGACCCATTTGACAAAGTTTAGTTAAACTTACTTTTTAAGATATAAAAATAAAATATATATCTGAAAATGTGATTTTAGTACTTTTTAAGTTTTACATTTACTAAAAGTGTAATTTTAGTTTTCATCATGAACTAAAAGCATCTATTTTTTCAATATATAAGGATTACAAACATATTAAATTTTTATAAGAATTAAAACTAAATTTCAAAATATTTTGAGACTAAAACATGTTCTGTCCTGTATATAATACTATATGTGATAATTTTAAAACTCGTAATAAATCATATAATTATATGAATTTCAAGAAAATATAAAATTATGTATCCAACTCATGATCATTTCTATAAAACCATTTAACCCAAAAAAGTGACAATAATATATTGGCACGTATGAAGAGGTAGCTGGCAAGGGAAGGTTTATTAAGATAGAAGAGGACATGCAGATCACATGCAGTCATTTTGGTGATTAATTCTTTAGTGTGGTCACTTGCTCCAATCATTTGCCTTGCTCTTCATAACTTTTCCATAAAGAATATGTCACTAAACATAAAAGGATTGTTTATTACGCATTGCTCTGCTTCATGAAAATATATAATTTGGGAAAGTGTGTCCCCATCCACGTGAACGTTTCCAAAGACCACAGGATGCATGTATGCTATGGGCTTTGATTTGTTTGTCTGCGGATGCTAATAAAAAGAAGAAATAAGGGATCAAATATAAAGCAAAAGCTAAGGTTTTAGGACTGTCTCACTTGAAAGTTAGTGGCAGATGATGAGAACAAAAAAGTGAAGAGTGTGGGTCAGAATTCCACGGAACTATGACTTTGAATATATATGTACTTCCATTTAGCCACCACTTGCTTCACTAATAGGTGTCAATGGAGGTTTTTGGAAGTAAAAGAAGAAAGGAAGAACGATCATTTTTCCCTTTCTTTTTTATTTATTTATTTATTTTTTATTTTATCTCAGACTCAACTTCGTTCATTTCATCTTTCTCTGGATATTATCATGAGTCAAATTAATCTCAGTTCAAGATACTTACCAGCTCCAACACTATATTGCATATCTAGCTATAATAATTTTTATATAATCATTATTATCTAATTGCTATCCTCCCAATGTCTCCTCACTTATATTATATATTTAGAGTTTAATACATTATTTCAACTTTTAAAAAAAAAAAATTGTAATTAGATCTTTTATCTTTTTATACTGATGTAATTTATTGACTAAGTTACACTTCATTAACAACCATCAACGGTAGGATGAATATGTAAATAATTAAAATGAGACATTCAAAGATTAATACAACATCTTTAGGGACCAAAGTTAAACGAGGTGTTACTTTTACTTTTACGAATAAAAAATGTTATATATATTATAATAAATTTAATGTTGATATATAATGTTATAATAGTACTCTCATTCACTTATTCCATACTTAATTATTTCAACTGGCCGAGTGTAATTAGTTTACCTAAATTTATAAACATGTTGCGCCCTAGATTGTGAACGGGGTGAAAATGATTTAGATATTAGAGTTGGTTTTACAAGGCTGAATCTCACTTATTTCTTAAGAGAAATTAAGCTACATATACCAAGTAATTTTATATTGTTATCCAAATATAAACTATCACAGACATATATAACAATAATAATAATAATAATAATAATAATAAAATTTGTTTATTTTTATAATAAATAATTAAAATATCATATTAACAATTATCTTGATTGATTGACAATATACAGTCATTAAATTCATTTCTTAAATTTAAGGTTTGAGCATAACATATTTATTTGGTATAGGTTTTTTTTAAGACCTCACCTGATTTTTTTTTAACGTTTGATATGATGTAAAAAAATTATTAAAAATAACTTGATTTGTAGTTAAACTTTTAATTAAGTCAAACAACTTATTTCAAAATAGATTAACAAGTCTTGACTTATATGTAGATTAGTATTTAAGCCCTTGAGTAAATCGACAAATATTTAATAAAAAAATATTATAACAAAAATTTATATTATTATTATTTACTTAAATAAGTCAACCTATTATATTTAAGAAACATTTTAATTCGCCCACAACTTTTTTTAATTAAATGCTTTTCAAAAGATCTCTCTCTCTCTATATATATATATATTCACATATTTAGTAAATAAAATTAACGTAAGTTAGGTCACTGGTCCTCACAAATGACCTGGTCCATTTCCACTTGTAATTTATGTTGCCAGGACTGGATATGGTAATGGCCAGAACAGAAGAGAATGATGCGAATTATCTTATTCTACATGATCGCCATGCATATAACTTTGAAGTAGTGATGTCATATATAGCTGTGTTTTACTTTTCTAACATATGTGCCACAACAGATATTAAAAAAAGACCCAACAATACATTTTTTCTATTTGATTAAAAAAAAATACTGCAGGCTTTACCTTTTCAATATGTGAATGAAAGGAGAAATATGATTTTCCTCAATCGGATCTTCTTCTTCTTCTTCTTCTTCTGCATTGCAAAGAGTCCAAAACACATTATTACATGATTTTCTTTTTTGACAGTTAGAATATCACACTTTGTAATTATAACATAATAACAAAAGTAATGGTTTTAATTTTAAAACTTCAAAAGTTACACGTTAAAAATAATTATATTTTATCGTTTAAACAATCAATTCTTTTAAACTCACATTTAAAACATTTTTCTCAACAATAAATCATTTTTTTTAACATTCATTCTTTCAAAATCCTTTCAACATCAATTCTACTAATTACTAAAAGTCAAACAAATAAACTCTTAAATGTTTTGAAAACATTGAGAGCAATAATACCTCAGTTGTACTAACTTATTCTGTATTTGAAACCATTTTTAATCAATGTATAACTGAGAGAAGTTGACAAGAAAAAGAAAATTTCTACCGAATCTAATCACAATGAATCAAACATCCCTAAAAACGTTTGAAAGGGATTCTCAAAAATTCATTGATGAAAAAGTTGAACTTTAAGCCAGGTTTGCTCAGTCCACAGTAGTTTTAGCACTGCAGAGGCAGCCCTTATGTCTGTCTAACGCTGACTTGCCTGAGCTCAGGTCTCCAAGGAACAATGTTAGTTGACAAACGATTCAGAACAATTGGGAATATAGACTTTGGCAGTTATTGCCCCCATGAATGTAGGTTATAATTGTTTCACCAAAGGTTGTTAACATAAATAGTTCAATACTCATGTTCCTTAATAAAAACTGAGATTCAATATTTAATTTAAACATTAAATTGTAATTGAAAATACTATTTTAATCTTACAAGAATAGACTCGATAAGAAAGAGTTATACTTCTTTATTAAAAAAAAGGTCAAAATTGCATCAATACAGTGATTTATTTGTATTGAGATGTATCAGATATAGTTTCAGAGTTTCACATAAAATTATCAATTAAAAATGAGTACAAAAAATTTATATCTATATCCACACCAACTAAAAAAATTGTGAAAAGTACGAACCAATATAGTTCATACAGAACCAATTGCTTAAGCATTTACAAGTGGTTCACTGATTTCAAGCAATTCATTTTTGAGACCGGTGAAAACAACAGAATCTGTTTCCAGGGGCTTGAACTTGATTAGAGCAGAAGGTACGAGGTCCTCTTCCTCTATTGTTTTAGCATTTTCCCCTGCTTTTGGAAAACGGGGGATCACACGCCGTTGGACAAGTACTGGATGCATTAGGTCAAATTCTAAACCTGGTTCTTTTAATGATGAGCTGACAAACTGTTACATCAACATGTAAAACAAGATCAGTGTTCAGTTGCTGACTTAGAAGAATAATGTTGAAAGTCCATTCCATTTTGGGGTGGAAGAAGAGAGATAAAGAGAAAAAATAATAGATGCAATATGTAATGTGATGGAAAAGGTAGAATGATATATGAAGAAAAATAAAATGAAAGCAAGTTGTAGGAGAATAGAGTGTATGTTTATAATTATCCAACTTAGAATAAACACAAACATAAAATTTGCGGAATGAAGAACAGACAAATTGTCAAACCATTCAAAATGTGTTACAAGTGTTCACAAGACTACAAAAAATAGTTCAGGTTATCCAATTAGGGACTTGTGTGTAAATTGCAATTGTAATCATCTAATTAGGAACTTTTATGCTGCAATGAATAATTTCCAAGGCTGAATAAAGCTCTGTTCATTTTAATGATCAAAAAAAGCTCTGCTCATTTTCAAAAAACAGCTCCAAATTAGATTATTTGTATTTTGCTATAATGTGCATCAATGAGAGTTATCATTGCCTGTATGCTCATAATCCCTTGGCATTTGCAAAGTCCGCATCTTCGTTTGTATGAAAAGGTTCATGGCGAGCAGCTAAATGACATGATCTATCTAAGATAACTGTATGAAGCATTTAGAACCAGTTGTAAAGCTAACTTGCTCCAGTAAACTCCAAAATAACAGCACATCATCAGATGGACAAACAAAATCTCGGTCCAAAAAAATGAGAAAAATCAAACTTAAAATCAAGTAGCAAAGGACAAACCTCGTAGAGAGCAGTAGTTGGTTCCCAAGGAGCAAATACACCTTGAAGTACAACTCCATCTGGAAATTGAATCCTTATAATAGTTTTTGAATATCTCTTCCTGGAAGCTTTTGCTTGCTTTTCTCTGAGGGACTTGGGAATTAAAAGCTGAGAATCTGCAAGCTTTTTTCTCCGTAATTCAGCTTCTCTTCTCACCTCTTCAGCTGAAAGGTTGTAGAAGGAATCTGGTAGCTCAATTTTAGCAGCAACGCTTTCAGGGACAGCAAAGAAGACCTTCACCTACAAGAGCCATTTTAAATAGGAAAAAAGAAAGAGATATTCAATCTAACGATTAGTTGGTTATTTTTGAAAAGTACTGAAGTGCTAAACTAATAAGAAAGCAATTTAACACATAATTTGAGCTCTGCAGAACAATAACCGAAAGCATCAAACAGAATTACCCAAACAAAAAGGAGATTTAACCAAAGGGGAGTAGACTTGTATCTCTCATACAGTCACAGTCTAGGTTGTCAAACTCTAAGTTAACTAGTAAACTCTTGCATAAGAGTTTAGGATTCTAAGTAGAGCAACAAGTTAACTCTATATCAAACACTTTTAAATCAACAGTTTAAACTCGTGTAAACTATAATAAACTCGCAAGTTAATAAGTGAATTAGCAAGTTTGAGATCAAATGTGATTCTTCCTCCATTGATTCCATAGCGTTAATGTTTTATTGTGACTCAAATGATTTGAAAAAATCAACTCTTTTTGAAACATTTTCACTTTAGGAACTTAAGTTTTTATGAAATTATATATAATTTGATCATTATATGGTTTAATCTTATTTAGTACTAATGTACTACTAAAACACTTTATTAATGTAGTTTACTACTTTACCTCTTTATGAGGTTGAAATGTTGAATTATTGTTTATTAAGAGTGTTATGCTATGCATATATGTCATTAGTAGTTTTATTTTTATTTTTATAACAAGTAAACTCTTATGAGTTTACAGAAGGTCCAGAAAAATTTACGTAGAGTATTGAGTTTGACAACCTTGGTCACAATTACTAACAGTTTCCACAGCTGATTTAGATATGCCAGCAATTAACAAAGTATATCCTGGTTTAAGTTTAGGTTTCTATCTCTCAGCATTTTCCTCTTAGGCAAATGAATAAAAGAATTAGAACGAAGACCAAAAATTATTGATATTCTAGCCAGCAGCAGGTTGTGGCCATGCACTCTAAAAGTTACATTAGTTTGGAATTATAGGGCAAACATGGATAGAAAGAAAGAATTAAAGAAGTTCTGAGGCTTCATTAATGATATTTTGGATCTTATTTTTCTATTCCTGTAACATTTAGCAACATCCCTAGCACAACTTAAAAGCAAATTACAAATATAGCATGCAGGATCTGCACACAGATAATTCCAACCTTCCATAAATTAAAACAAATAATTATTTTTGAAGAACAATGGAGACATAAACTCAAAAGTAAAATATTTAAATTTTATGCATGATATTTTATCTTTTGAATTATCTATTGCTCATCTAAGTAGTTTTCCTTAAACCTATTCTGTTTTAGAAACGAAAACTCTAAAAAGGATTATGGATTATTGTTCTCTGTCTTCTGCTTCTTCCATTAACTATATGACCCCCAATTTAAACCAGTATAAGCCATCCCAAGTTATGATTTATGAACCCTTGGCCCTAGCAAATATGTTATGACCAAGCCTATCACCAATTTTCACAACGTCCATACAGGCCACAAGCCAAATGAACCAGCAAATTACTATTCCCATTTTACATCCAGAAACAAAAGCAAAGATGTAAGGATAACAAAGATATCTCAGGCTTCAACTTCATGTATTAATGTTACAGTTCGGAACCAAAACTGGATGGCAATGATTAGTTAACGACATTATATGCTTCATATCCTATCTTAACTCTGCTATTACACTGTTAGATATCCTTTTATGTTCAAAACAGACTGAAACTTCCTATAAGAGCAAAATGCATAGAGTAGAGGCTATACTTAAATGCATCCAGGACGAACTCTTGAAAGCAAATGAGAATCAAATCATGGATTTGTTTTCTCCGGAAGCATAATCAATACAATCTCTACCTGTCTGTCAACCGGCTTTGGTTCAGCCTTTGCACCCGTCTCAGCAGAAGTTGCAGACACCGAATCCTCCTTCTTCGGAGGTTCTTGTACAAGTTGCGATTCCAGCAACACTATTGCTTTCTTAATGAATTTGATTTGGTCCTCTGTGGGAACCTCCATAAAGGCACATGTCTCTCCATTCTCCTCCCTGAGTTCAAAACCAACAAAACTCAGCAACTCAACCCCCCCTGCAACATCACCAACAGCCTCTTTTATCTTGGGATTGTTCATCCTGATCTTCCTAAACTTGACATTTTCAGGTTCCCGAGCAATATTCCTCAACAATTTGAGAACAACATCAAACGATCCCTCAGATGGCTTCCCTGAAATGTAAGTACCAACACAAACCTCCAATTCAGTATTACACACAACCTCACTCTCAGTCTCTGAGACCCCGTTTCCATCATCACCTCCACGCTCACCAGGGCTACTCAAACAGTCCTCCACGTGTGCAGACACCTCCTCTTCGGATCTAAAGGGTTGTTTACAAACGGGGCATTCATAGACGTTCAGTGAATACCCATTTTGTGATCTGTTGGAATTAGTGACCAACGAATCGAAAGGGTCAAAGGCACCATCTTTGGGAGGCTCCTCTGTGATTCTATTTTGCTCCGTTTTGCGGGGCGAGGGTTTGGGACTCGTGTTGGGTTTGGAAATAGGGTTGGGCGTGGGAATGGGGCGAGGGGTAGGATTGGAATTAAGGGGGATAGAACTGGAAGAAGAACCCAAGACTCTACCCTGGCCCTTGAATTTGCCGGAGGATGAAGAGGAGAAAGAGTTGTTGACTTTCTTCATGAACCCCTTCATCTTGTCTTTCATGTCACCCATTGCTGAAAAACGAAATTCTGTGGAAAATAATAACAGATCGGAATTCGGAACAGAATGGAAAGGGGTCGCTTAAATTGATGGTGAATTTTGGGGGATTGAATAGAATAGGCACAAGAAAGAGAAAAAGAAAAAGAATAAAAGTTTGTGAGAAGAAGAAGAAGAAGAAGAAGAATGAAAAGAGGGAGCACAGAAGAGAAGAATGGCCAGAAGCTGGTGGTTGGGTTGACTTCACACCGTTTAACTTTATGAGGAAAAATGTCCAATAAGGTTATCACACCTCATCAAACCTCAATTTCTCAGAAATCCGATTGTGTTTTTTCATTTGGCGTGTTTCACTTTTACTTATTAATGTGAGAAAATAATCACGATTACTTTACGTTTAAACGCCTTTTCTAAACTTTTTAATTTTTTTTATCCAGACTTTAATTAAATTTTTTTTATAAAGTTTTACCAATTTAATAGAACTTGCACAAGATTATTTTTAATTAATTAGTGATATCACGTTCAACAATTATGAATATAATTATGTTAAATACTCTTAAAAAATTTATTATGTTTCTATAAGATTTGACCATAATTACTTTTATAACTCACATTTAACCTCATATACTATATATATATATATATATATATATATATATAATTTTCAGATTTAATATTGTTTGAAATAGTATTTAAAGATCATAACATATATAAAGAAAATAAAAACACGACTTATGATTTAGTATTTTTTAATTTAAATTAATAGAAGTGACATTTAGTTTATATCTTCTAAATGGAGTCATATTCTCGGATGATGTAGGATGATGAAATCCATACATACTTGATCCTTTTTGATTAGGGTAACTACTTGAAATTTTAATTCTTTAACAACATATTTGGGATATGAAATTCTTAAGTGAGTTTAATGGTAACTCAATATATGTTGCTTGGAGCCATAATCCTTATCTTGTTGACATTAAACTTTGGCAGGAATATCAACATATTCAAAATGCATGAAGAGTTACAATGATTTCAAAAATGTAGATGCATATGATTATTTTTTGGTGATCATAATTCTATAGTTTTTCATGAGATAATAATTGTGTGAAGGAAGATAAAAAAAATAGAGACCCTGTAGGATTTCTAAGGCATTTGGATTACTTGCAAAAACTAACTTGATTTTTTTTTATAGTTTTTTAAACGTGACCCCGTTTTGTCCGATAGGTTTTTCTTAAACCCCTTTGAAATCTTAGATGCAATAACTATCTCATTCAATTACAAATGATAAAATTAAGAATGATGTGTTTATGGCATGTAATTCAATAACTCCAATAAGCAACGAGTTTTGATATATATATATAT